AAGCAGAGCACGGATGATAAGCACATCCGAGGAGATTGCCCAGGTATCTTTGCTAGCTTCGAACTTTTATGAATCACAGTCCGAAGGGGATCTTTTCTGGTACTGAAACGTCAATATTTTTGAGCAGCAGGCTCCTCTGGCCTCCCCCCCCCCCTCCCCACTCCCACCCCACCCCCACCCCACGCGACCCCACCCTACACACACGCAAAAATGGCAGGGGGAGGAATTCATTTTAAGAAAGTGATACCAATGTTCTGATGCAGTGTATTAGATGTCAGTTCTGTCATATTTTTTTTTTGGTAAAGTTGTCAGTGCTGTCTTATTTCCACTAGGATTCTGATATTGCAAGAATAATTGAGGGGGTAAAAGAAGAATCTAACTTGCTCTTCGGTGCAAGGAATAATTTTGAAACACTAATGCACTGGATAACAGAACGAGTTATCAATCTTCTGCTCTAAAGTGTTCCTGCTGCACCGTTTCCAATAAGATTATGATATTATGACCCTTTGATAGGTTGGTACAATCTCTGCAAATGGAGAAAGAGAAATAGGTGAGATAATTGCTAGGGCTATGGAGCAAGTAGGAAAGGAAGGTGTCATCACTATTCAAGTAAGTGATTTCTTGATACTGTTAATGTTACGTGCATGGTCTTGTTTGCCATAATTGTTTGAACTTTTTCTTAAGTTTCTGGTCTGGTAAAATCTTAATCTCTTTAATGCCTTGTCGGATGTACTCTCAAAGAGGAGAAGATGTACCCCAAAACTTATTGTCATTTGATCCATTTGAGTTGGTAATAGCAAAAAAAAATAATACAAATTACGCAAGAATCTGACATTTGGAACTCTGGCAGTCTTTTTATTACTCAGATAATAATATTGGATAATCCTTTTACTTTGTGATAACTGAGTTGGAATCATATGAAATCTTGTTGTAAAGATGTCACACTAACTCATTTCCTTCATGAAAATAGATGGGACACTGATTCATTTCTAATATCATGCAGGATGGAAAGACACTGTTTAATGATTTGCAAGTTGTTGAGGGGATGAAGTTGGACAGGGGCTACATATCCCCATACTTTATCACAAATGAGAAGAATCAGAAATGTGTACGTCTTTAGTTTGTCAAATATTAACTCAGCTGCATGACTGATGTGGCAGTCTTATATATTTACAGCCAGCCTCTTTTTCATTTGAACTCACAACTATTTTCATACCTGACAGGAGCTGGATGACCCACTTATTCTTATTCACGAGAAAAAGATCTCAAGCATAAATGCTATTGTGAAAGTGTTAGAATTGGCTTTGAAGGTAGTCTTCTTCTGAGATTCTTGGAGTTTCAACTATGACCTCTGGAGTTGTTTCTTACTCTTACTTCATATATTCAGAGACAAAGGCCCCTCCTAATTGTGTCCGAAGATGTGGAGAGTGAAGCACTCGCTACGCTTATTCTTAACAAGCTTCGTGCTGGAATCAAGGTAATTTACTGCTTTGAGTAGAAACATGTTCTCTTTGTTGATGGTCTGTATAACACTTTGTTCAGCTAATTATACCGGAAAATAATACAGGTTTGCGCCATAAAAGCTCCAGGATTTGGTGAAAACAGGAAGGCTAATTTGCAAGATCTTGCTGCTTTAACTGGAGGCCAGGTAAGGAACTGTTCTGGTATGCTCCTGTATAAGATATTTGTTATTTCTTCATGCATCACCCACATTTCTTGCCCGTGCATGATAGGTCATAACGGAAGAACTTGGAATGAACATTGAAAATGTGGAGTTGGACATGCTGGGAAAATGCAAAAAGGTATTTTTTTTTAACAAGTGCATCCCTGCTCTCTGGTATTATTTAATGGTGCAAGTAAAGTACTATTGCAATTCTTGTTTAGTTTTTCTATTTTGTGCTGCTGAACTTTTCTGCTTTTCTTTGGTCTCATGGCATTTAATTTTTTTTCTAGGTGACTATCTCCAAGGATGACACCGTTGTTCTTGATGGTGCGGGTGAGAAGAAGGCCATAGAGGAGAGATGTGAACAGGTATATTTTGTGTACATCTGCACTTATATCATCAATATATACACCATATTATCCAAAATTGTGGGGTTGACCATATGCTGTGCTCTTTGTATTGACAGATTAGATCAGCAATTGAACTGAGCACGTCTGATTATGACAAGGAGAAATTGCAAGAAAGACTAGCTAGGCTTTCGGGGGGTGTTGCAGTATTGAAGGTATGCAATTTAACTGCAGTTTGTATTTTCTGAGAAGCTAAGTATGCAGAGAAAAGGATCCCTTGCATCTTATAAATAATTTGCAACTTTTAGTCTATGCTCGCAAATAATCAAAAAAGAATTGTAGAAGGTATATTAATTTGAATTAGTATGGGTTTGCCAGGTAGGAGGAGCTAGTGAAGTTGAGGTTAGTGAGAAGAAAGACAGAGTTACAGATGCTTTGAATGCCACAAAAGCTGCTGTAGAGGAAGGAATTCTTCCAGGTTATTACATGTTCATGTCTCTTCATGCCTGGTCCGTCTCACCTAAGAACCTATAGTGGGAGACTAATCCGGTTCTTGTCATGCAGGTGGTGGGGTTGCACTTCTTTATGCATCAAAAGAATTGGACTCATTGCCAACAGCCAACTTTGATCAGAAGATTGGTGTTCAAATTATTCAGAACGCTCTGAAGGTCTTAACATTTTAACAAATTTTGCTATCACATTTGCAGATTAGATTCCTTAAGAGTATCACTTCTCAGGAATAAGTAGTTGTCAAATCATAATTAGTAATGTTTTGGAATGAATTTCTAATTGCAGACACCAGTATATACAATTGCCTCTAATGCTGGGGTGGAAGGATCAGTAGTGGTTGGCAAATTGTTGGAGCAGGATAACCCGGATCTTGGATATGATGCTGCAAAAGGTTTGAATGCTCATCTCTTGTTCCTTTCGAGTTTCCACCTGATAAATGATTCTATTTCCTAAAAACTAAAAATTAATCTCGTTCTATGTCATCTATGCAACAGGTGAATATGTTGATATGGTTAAAGCAGGAATCATTGATCCATTGAAAGTAATTAGGACGGCCCTGGTTGATGCTGCTAGGTGAGCATACTCTTTTATCCTTTCGTCTTCCAATTTACTTACTCTCTTGGCAAGTTATTATCTGCAGAAACTTATTAGTGTGAAAGCTTTTCTACATTGTCTTTGTATAGAAGTTAAACTTGTGCTTTTACTGTTTTTGTTGTATGCAGTGTGTCATCTTTATTAACTACAACTGAAGCTGTTATCGTTGAGCTTCCCAAGGATGAGAAGGCAGCTCCAGCTATGCCTGGTGGTGGTATGGACTACTAATGCACTAGCAAAGAACAGTGATTCAAGTTGCCTGACATACAATTTAGCACCACAGAATAAGAAACTTAAGGTTGTTGCTCATGGTACCTCAATTGTAACACTAGCAAGAGATGAATGTGAATTCATGTTTTTGTAGGTTGAGAACTTGTAATATTTGCAAGATAATGCGGCATCCTCATTTTTAATCCACTTTCTTGTTCTCGGTGACATTCTGAATTCCAAGAATTTTTGAAGTTAGTATAAATGAATCGCAGAGAGACTGCTAATATCATATACAGGATACCCGGTACCAATTGGATATATAATTGGAGTAAAATGGCCAAATTTCTGTTGTGATATTCATAGGTATAATCTGATGTATCCTGGATATACATGTTGCCATGAAATTGTTTGTACTTGTGAGATCAAATATTTGGTGAATGTGCAATTTTTTGTGGGAGGATTGCGGACAATTTTAAGGGGCTGCAAATGACTTTAACCTTAAACATAATTCCCCTTTCCATTATGATGAACAGAAACAAAAGGAAGTTGATGTGTTAAAAATCAAGAAAACCAAAGCTCTCACTTTAACCAAAAAAAACATCTTCATACAATAAAGTTAGAAAAATCTCAATGTTTAGGCAATCATCATCTTCCCTTATTGCAGTTCTATTTGCTGCCATCAACCTTGCAGTCTTGGTCTCATGGGCAGTAACTCAACAGCCAGGCCAACCACGGGTCTGTTAGGCAACAGTGACTAAGTCCCCTTCGCGAGACCTCTTGTTTTCAGACCTCCAGAACAATCACTGCTATTGACGATTTCTTGACCTCTTCACTTGAGCTGGGCACCCAAAATGTTGGCAAAGCTCAACGAGAATACGTTGCAAGCTCTGTAAGACTGGAATGCTCAGATGAGATGGCATTCACAGCCATGATGGAAAAAGGGGAATATGGTGACAGCCTTAACTTCTTTGGAGTGTACAGGATAGGAAGCACCGTGTTGCGGCTTTCAGTCACTGGCAAAACATTGTGGATTGTTGTGTGGAAAAACCAATCTTTTTCTGTCTTCACATTGCTTCTGCCTGTAACACAGGCTTCACATCTTTGCTTTTGTGCTCTTCCCCGTTGAAGTCGTCGTGTTTGCTCTCACCAAGCAGCAAAGCTAAAAGTCTTAAAACAGTTTTTTACATAGAACACCAAACCTATTTGTGTTCCCCAAACCAAAAAATGGCACATAGATGTCCAGTAGCTCCTCATCAATAGTTACAATCCTAAATAGCTCACAAGTTTTAGAAAGTGCTCCTCATGCCCGCATTCTACGGGCCAAGTTGTTACGTGGTGAATCTCACTGCATAAGGGTGAATCTCAGAAAATTTTGGAGGTCACAATTTTGGCCGCCAAAATTGAGACAAAGAGAGCTACCCAGCCCTACTGCAATCTCCTTATACTCCATAATTATCCCTCGACGAATGCCTCTTTTCTCTTATATCAAGTCTACAGCAAACAAGTAGTAGAAGTAGGATACCAAGCTACAAACTATTATAAGGTATGATTAAGTGGTTAAGCCACGATGGTAATCCACATTCTAAAACCAGTTTTCTACAGGAATGACAAAATGAAAATCAGTCTGATACATAATACACATGCTTTTATTACGGATTTAAGGATGTTACAATCAACCAAGTAAAATGACATGAGCTGATGATTCGACATATACTTGATGCTATATAACTTCACATTTGATCTAAATGACATGCACACATTCATTTCTCCTCTAAAAGCATTAAAGGCGGTTGATTCTTACTCGACCAAGTGCAGTAGCTTCATCAAGTCCATATAACGAATCAATCAACAGTGTCCGCAGTGAAGCTGGACCTCTAGCCATGTCCATCCCTACTTCACTTGCGACACCAAAGATAGCCAATGCAGAAGCTGTTGCTTCAACAGCATGGGATGGATCAACTGCGACAAAGGCAGCAATGAGGGCAGTGACAGAACATCCAGAAGCAGTAATTTTTTGCAACATAGGCACCCCATTATGAACACAAACAACCCTATCACCATCTGTGATATAGTCAACAGCTCCAGAAATAGCGACTACACTACCACTTTGTTGAGCAAGAGACTTAGCAGCTTCAACAGCATCACTTGAACCATGTACACTATCTGCACCCTTAAATCAGTCAAATTGAAACAGATGAGACATTATGAGCACAATCAATGGATGAGAAATTGTAATACAGTAACGGCGTGTTCTCAGTTCTCACAAACAAATATTTGCGTATCAAAAAGAACTAATCTCCCTATCAACTTCTCTAAATTTTAACTTGGAGAGGTTAAAAAGAAAAGGGCAACAGAATCAAGTGTATATCGCCTTGATGTTTATGACCACTGGTAGCAAAATTTGTCCTAAAAGAAGACGAATCAAACAATATGAATATTTCATCAGATTACTTGCTCTTCATTTAATGATTTCATCTTCTGTATATTAATCTGTCCATAACTAGCCATATTAGCATATAATTACTAAAATTGTTAAACCATCTAACCCGCTAACTCATGAGACCAGTTATTTTTCCCCAACCCATATGCAACAACAACAATGACATACCCAGTGTAATCCCACGAGTGGGGTTTGAGGAGGGTGAGATATACGCAACCTTTTACCCCTACTTTTTCTGATAGACTCTTAGTACGACAATGTATTACCAATTTTCTCAACCCATATATTGAACTTAAATCAATTTCAACCTATTTTAGATTTTCTCGACTACCACTCTGCCTATACCATCAACAGGCAGAAATACCCCATTTCACAAGTTTCCGACTATAGCATAAGAAAATACAGTAAATAAGAAATTTGAAGAGAAGTTAACTTTGCATAAATGGAAGAAGATTCTTCTCTTCCTCCCATTCTTACATCAGTAATATCAAATATAAGGTAATTGTAGGTCATACGAGGAAAGACCAAAATTTGGAGACCTGATATCATCAAATCTTGAAAAAAAATGCCGCCTTTGGTAAAACTAAGCATCTTCCAAGTAGGAAAAAAAAAGATCACCAGATAAAGGACTCATTTTGGCTTGATTGTCATATGAAAGAGAAACCATTAGGAATTTATTCAATTAAAACAACAATTACCATGTCTTATAAAATCTTATAGATTACTATCTATTTGACCAGTTTCATTCCTATTATACAATACTTCAGTGTTTTTCTACTCATGTTCAATCTCAGACTTGAAAAACTCCTAACACTGGACATAATGTCAGCACACCAGCAAAGATTAAATTGATGGTAAAACATTACTCCCGTCTAGTGTTTATACCAAACCAATTAATACATCCAGTGTCGTAGCTAAGGTCCCTTGGCTTCTTCATGGGTTTACTACTTTACATTTTGACACTCCTTAACGAAAATTCTAACTCGCCACTGAATGCATCATCATCACATATGTTAAAACATACACAATTATCACTTAACTAAACTATGATATATAATAAGATCCGGAGGAGATAAATATTTTGCCAAAATTGATACTCAAAAATATTGTGTTACCTTCGAATTTGAGTCAACACAACCCTTAAAAAGAGCAAGAATCTCAGACCCATTGCCTCTAACAACACTAGGTTTTAAAGCAAGTAGCTCCAAACACGCCTTTAACCGGAAACTTGACCCACCGGCAGCTACAGGATCAAGCACCCAAGGTTTTTTCGATTGATTCGCCACCTGTGCCGCCAATTTCATGCCGGGTAGCCAGTCAGGAGCGAGGGTTCCGGCATTTATGCAAACTCCAAGGGCTTTTGGAGTAAATTCTGGGATTTCTTCAACGGAATGAATCATCGCCGGCGATGCACCGGCGGATAACAGAGTATTGGCCATCAAATCCATTGAAACGAAGTTGGTTATACATTGAACTAATGGGGATTTTTGACGAACTAATTCGAAATGGGTCCATGCTTGTTTGGGCCAATGTATAGGGTTTTGTTGAGCTCCCTTTTGGGGTTCAATGGTGTTAGTACTTTTGTCTTCTTCCATAGGAGTGTATAAGCGAGCTGATAACTCTGTTTGGATGATTGGATTATGCAAAAGAGAGAGTATATATCACTAGATTTACGGAGTGATAATAAATTGTTATTTTTGAAAGTCCTTTAATTCGAGTGCAATAAGTTCAAGTACAAAAATGAAGAAAATAGCGTAGCAATATCATAATATAACAAACAGAGACATCAAAAGTAAGAACTATAATAATACGAGGTAATATTAGGTACTATAACCAAAGACTACGTGGTTAAGCTAATACGATAATCGACATGGTGCTCTATACTATCACCCAACTAAATATATGAAAAGGCTAGTACGCAACCATTCTTAACTACCTATTAATATTCTATCCTTACCCACGAGGCCACGACCTTCATATCTTTCTATCTAAAATCATGTTTTTGATAGGATGCACTCATATTTTATCTAATTACCTCTCTCCAATACTTCTTCGATTAACTTCTACTTTTCCTCAACCTCACTTCGATAGTTGAGTCTCAAGATCAATGTCAGGATCAAGAGTTGAGAGTTGGGCCTTAGATCAGTATTGGAAATTGATTCCCGAAAAAAGTTATTTTTCGAATAAGATTGAGTCGGAAGATAAGATAAAAAGAAAAAATTGTGAAATATTTTAAGAATGCTCATGTTCCTACAAAAGTTTGACACTATGCCACTTAGTAGATCGAAAGTATATCAAAGTTTAATTAATTGAAATAGTGTATACGTGCCTCCATGAAACAAAGAATCTAAAATAAGTGTATATATATAAACACTTGAAAGATTTCCGCCATCGCCGGCAGCACTGATAATTTCCAACAAAATGCACAACCACCACCTTCAACCGCCGCCAACCACCACTTCCACCGGCGGCACTACCGGCAGTAACAACAGTAGCATTTGCCGGATCACTTTTTCGACTCCCTTTATCCTCCTTATCACCATCATATTCTCACTTCTCCTTATACTTTCCCTTTCCTTTTCCCCATCTTCTACCCCTCTTCCTCCTCACCCTAATCCTTCCCTTTTCCCCAATTTCCATAACTATCTCAACTCCCCATCAAACCCAAATGACCAAAATACCCTTCCATCCACCCCACCCACTCCACCTTCAATTGCATACCTCATATCTGGATCCACTAAAGACTCTTCTAGAATCCTCCGTTTGTTGTTTGCTGTGTATCATCCAAGAAATCAGTATTTACTTCATCTTGATAGAAAAGCTACTCAGAAGGAACGTGATGAATTGGCGCTTGCTGTTCAATCTGTGCCGGTTTTTAAAGCTGCACAGAATGTAAATGTTATTGGGAAAGCTGATTTTCGATACTCGATTGGGTCTTCTGCATTGTCTGCTACACTTCATGGGGCTTCCATTCTTTTGAGACTTTCGAATTCTTGGGATTGGTTTATTAATCTCTCAGCTGCTGATTATCCACTCGTTACTCAAGATGGTATGAAATGAAAAGATTTAGTTTGAAATATTTGGTGTAGAGGGAAATGGGGGAGGGGATTATAGGATGAGGAATTGAACCCCTCACTGAAAAAATTCAGGTAGCCAATCGACTAAGCTAACTGGGATTCTTTTGAAAAAAAAGATTTAGCTTTTATATTTGTTAGTTTTGAATGTCTTTGTGTTAGCTACTTTGTAGGCTTTTTGAGTGTTGAATTTCCATGTTTTGTGAGTTTAGGATCTTAATTGAAATCTTATCTAAGATTGGTTTGCTTTAGAGAGTAGTCGAAAAACTATGTGAAGGCGAGCTTATCTTTAAAATGAACTTGGTGGACACAGTTACCGTGTAGCAGTTACCTTGTGGAATTAGTTAAGGTACCTGCAAGCTGGACCGGACACCATGGATGTTAGTAAAAGAGTTATCTTTAAATTGACAATTGACCGAGTTAAAGATTTAGCTTTTATTTGTGTTCGTTTTCAAATTTTCTTTTGGTAGCTACTTTTTGGGAGGTGTGTTGAATTCCATGTTTTTTGAGTTTAGTATCTCGATTGAAATCCTATCTAAGATTGGTTTGCTTCAAGCGAGGAGTCGAAAAACTATGTGAAGGCAAGCTATTTTTAAAATGAACTTGGTGGACATAATTTCATTGGTACTTGTGCAGGTTGGAGGGAGGTAGCAGGTACCTCTGGAATTAGTCAAGGTACCTGCAAGCTTGTCCGGACATCATGAATATTAGTAATAAAGAAGTTTATCTTTAAATTGTCCATTGACCAATCTAAAGATTTTGCTTTTATTTGTGTTCGTTTTTTAGTTTTCTTTTGCTAGCTACTTTTTGGGCTCTGTGTGTGTGTAGAATTCCATGTTTTTTTGTGTTTTGTATCTCAATTGAAATCTTATCTAAGATTGATTTTCTTCTGCAATATCTTTAAAATGAACTTGGTGGACATAGTTACACGGTAACTGTGTAAGTGGGAGGTAGCATGTACCTTGTGGAATTAGTTGTGGTACCTGCAAATTGGCCTGGACACCACGGTTATTAATAAAAGAGTTATCTTTAAATTGGCCATCGACCACTTTTGTCATGAGGGGATTATTCATGCACTTGATGCAATTTGTTTCTCCGAGAAGCTTGTTAGAAATTGTAGAAGTAGTTCATTGATGTGGGTAACTTTTCTATAAATAGAAATGTCTTGCCTGAACAAGTTTCTTGGTATTTGGGTTGGCTTCCTGTAAGATTTTACATCAATGAATTGTGTAGTTGAAATCATATCTCCTTATACCGGGCTATCTCGTTGGTGTTTAATGATAACTGATGTTTGTAATGCAAATTCTTGTCATTGAACTGTGCCATTGGTGTGTTTGGATTGGTTGCACTACAACATAATCAATCGAATATTTTCATTGAATTTATTTCTTCCTATACCTCGATTTCTCTTTGTTGACGAGTGATGACCGATGATTTATGTGGTGCAAATCTTGTTGATTTTCAGATCTTCTACACATTTTATCATATCTACCCAAGGATCTTAATTTTGTCAACCACTCGAGCTACATCGGTTGGAGAGAGTATGACTATATCCTTCTCCTGCTATATGTTTCTATATGTACTAGCTTATAAAAAAAAAAGAGGTTTCTATATGTAGTTATGTTTAAAGGATATGAACATGTGGATAGCACGTGCTTCTAGAGTTCACTAATATTGCTATTTTGGATTGTGTAGGTCAAAGAAGTTGAAACCAATAGTTGTGGATCCAGGGCTCTATCTTGCAGAGGAAAGTGAAGTATATTATGCCTCTCAAAAACGGGAACTGCCAGATGCTTATCGATTATTCACAGGTGAGGATGCTGGTTATCGTTTTATTTGCTTCATTAGGTATTGAATTTGTGAATAACGTTTGTGCTCTTTTTCCTGTGATTGAGAAAAAATATTTTCTTGATAAGGAGGGACAACTATAACGCTGAGAACAAGGAACTCTTTTATTAAAGAGAAAGGAGTAAGGACTAAACTAGAAAATAAAATTTAAACAGAAATATTATGCAGTATGAAAATAAGCAAAGTATGATATACATGGACACTAACTGGAAAAGGTGTACCACTTGTGATGACGCCATTGTTCCTCTCACTTCACTTTTATCTTCTCTTTTTAAATCAGAAAAAAAATCCAAATATCATCAACAATCCAACTAAATATCATCAACAACCAACCTAACTGCTTCCCTCAATTCCTATTTCTTCCATTGTTTTCCTCATCTGACATCCAATCCTTCATCATCCTCTCGAAGTACATTTAACGTTATGTTATGTCATTTAAAAACCAAATCTATTGCCACAAGAACTATGGTTATTGTGAGGGGAAGAGGGGTTGGGTGTGGGGCATCCCAGATGTGGTTTCAGAAGGATATGTTAACTGGAGATGTTTAGGCGCAGAGAAAATTACTAGTCTTTCACTTATCAAAGAAAAAGAGGAGTCTTTGACAACGGAAACCAGGGTTCAAATTCCAGCGGAGACCAAAAAATAAGTTGATTTCCTTACATTTAATGAAGCTTTGATGGGTAAATGTACCCGATACTCATGGTGGAGATGCGTATAAGCTGATTCGGACACCATTGTTATCTTACAAAAAGAGCTTTTGACAAAATTCTAGGGATTCCGTCGAAGGTTTCTAAGTGAAAATGACAAATCTATAATCCGGAACTGAAAGAGATTAGAAAGTTAAGGAGGCAATTAGTTTGAGGCAAGTAGAACATTCTGCACGGTTTCAGATCCTTCATCCATTCTTTTTTTTTTTGACGAGGAAATAAACCCTTCATCCATTCATTTATCAATCTTATAACATTAAGAAGCAAGGAAACCATCTTCTCCGTACGGTTTTCCGTTACATTTAGGCTCTAAACGCTTTTGCATTTCTATCCAGCCAAAATCGCCAAGAGGTCTTGAATGAAGCAAATACAGTTTAGAATCCTCATAGAGCAGTAACCATAGTGGAAGTACTTAATTAGATGAAGCAGGGATGAGAAAATCTCTAAACCTCTATCTAGGAAGCATCTCCACAACCTGATGGGATGAGAAAATCTCTAAACCTCTATCTAGGAAGCATCTCCACAACCTGATGAGAAATGCAATGCATAGTCAGGTTGTCCTTGATTCTTGCCTTTGTACTACGTATATAGAAGACTATCTCCGGATCTGTTGCAGATCATTCATGTAAGTGTTCCAAGAGTCTGTTACTTAAGTCTTTACCTTGTAAATGGATGATTTTCAGTTGAACTCTAGCTTTTGGATGAGTATATAAGGAAAGGGATTGTCTTGAAACAATTTCTTGGAAACATGCATGCACCATGTAATCATAAAATGATTTCTAGGGAAAGTAATTTAGTAAAAACCGCTCTTGGTATGATCTTTCAGTAAATGTAATGAAAGCATATTTGATACGTTACTGAGACAAAGCCACATGACACAACTTAGTTTATCAAGTATCAACAACAATAACAACAACAACAAACCCAGTGTAACCCACAGGTGGGATCTGGGGCGGGTCGAGTGTACACAGACCTTAACCCCCCCTACCTTGAGAAGGTAGACAGGC